AATGAGTACATGTAAATGTGTCAGGTCAAATGAGTACATGTAGATGTGTCAGGTCAAATGAGTACATGTAAATGTGTCAGGTCAAATGAGTACATGTAAATGTGTCAGGTCAGATGAGTACATGTAGTTGAGTCACGTCAAATGTGAGGCAGCGTGGTGGAATCAGGCTCTCGTCAAAATAATCAAAGTGAAGAAACTTGCATTTTTCCGCAGGTTTGTGAATTTTTATCAAATTTTTGTTTTTTGGCTCAACACCTTTCATGCCCATTAAAGAACTCATTTCTGTGAGGATTTTTCTGAAAAACCTTGATTAAAGGCACAACAAATGTAAATTTTCAGTTACCATGGACTCATAAGCTAAGGAAATAACTAATCTTTGGCGGCCATTTTCTCACTAATTTTACCTCTGGAAATAGGTGACCCCCACTTCCTTCATTCGCAAATATCTCGACTTGTATTCATGATAAATGGATTTTTTTCCCATCCAAATAAAGACAAGTGAACAAACTTTAAGATGATACCAATAACTCTACATGCCCAAAAATTGACGAGAGCCTGATTCCACCACGCTGCCTCACAAATATGCTGGAAGCCAGGCGCTCGTCAAAATAATGAAATTGAAGAAATCGGCATTTTTATTCCCGAATGGCATTCGTCAATTGGGGATCTAAACAGGAATAGCCCCACACTCCAAACTCATACAAAACTGCAAAACAAATATTTAAAAGCAACAGCAAGCAAGATTGGATGAACAGATAAGATAAGATAAGATAAGATAAGATACATCTTTATTGTCCAGATCCTGGCACATTGGTTTGGTGTTCCATCACGAGTACACACACACACGCACACACACACACGCACGCACGCGCACACACACACACACACACACACACACACACACACACACACACACACACACACACACACACACACGCACAACGTGCACGCACATGCACACACAAGTAGGCTTACAATCACATACATAATATAAATGAGCAGCAACATAAACAATGATAATCGTAAGCTAGATACACACTCAATGTTATTTTGATGCATGCTCTAAGGTCGTAAGTACACTAAACAAGATGGTTAAGATGGAAGCATTTTGATAGATGATGGTAAAAATGACCTTCTGTATCTTTCTTTGTTACAGATCAGAAGCATGGGTCTTTTACTTCTGACTGATGTTTTTATTTGAGGGAACAGGGGATGTTTGTTGTCTAAAAAGATGGAATTAATTTTCTTAGTGCAAGCTGTTATGTACAATTCATCCAAGTAGGGAAATGAAGATGTTGAAATTTTACATGCTTTCCGTATTAGTCGATTTAATTTTTCTTTATCTTGTTGTCTTGTGTTCCCGGCCCATGCTGTTATACAAAAATCGATAATACTTTCTATGGTTGAATGGTAGAACACGGACATCAATGTTTTATCAACTTTAAAATACTTTAGCTTTCTAAGAAAAAATAGTCTTTTGTTCACTTTTTTATGCAGGAGAGAAGTGTGGACACGCCAGTTGAGTTTGTTGTCTATTGTAACACCCAAATACTTATAGTCTGACACTTGCTCGATGTTTTCACATTTCATTTTGAGTGGCTGCAGGGGCAGTTTCTTTATTCTAAAATCAACGACAAGTTCTTTTGTTTTTTTCACATTTAAAAGCAGCTTATGATTTTCACACCATTCAGAAAAATTAAGTACAAAATTCCGGTAAGCGGTTTCGTTTTGGTCAGCCTGAATTAGCCCAATTATAGTTGAATCATCTGCAAATGGGCCTTGAGAAAGACAGGCAGAGCAGTTTTCAAACATATGACAACAACAAAATGAAACGACAATGTCAACCACCAATAGAGAAAGAAATAGACGACGATCTTCAGCCTACGAACAGAACAAAATATTATACAGCTCAACTTTCGCTTGAACGGAATAAAAGCAGAACTTCCCCCCATAGTGTCCTTTGTGTGACTGCACATATGAGACTGTGGATCATCACCTTTTCTACTGCACAGCCCTAAATGACACCAGAGCTACCCTTTTCCCTCCGAGACCTAACTTTGAAAACACACTCTATGGAACATTACAGCAACTGCAGCAAACCTGCACGTATCACCACATGGCATTGGACAGAAGGGCGATAGCCCAGCTGTTGCTGGATCGTTTACAACAAGAACATAATTCCCGAATGGCATTTTTTATAATAGTCTTATTTTCCTAGTTCAACACCTTTAATTTCCATTAAAAAACACATGTCTGTGTGGATTTTACTGCAAAACGTGCCAGTTTCCAAAGGCTCTCAACTTATGGACGTCAGCAAACCTTGGCAGCCACTTTCTCGCTGATTCTACCTCTGAAACCAGGCGACCACAACCTAGTTCAATTGAAATTATCTCGACTTCTTTTCAACATAGATCAGTAACTTTTCATTGAAAAAATAGACAAACGAACACGCTTTAAGACGATACGAATAACTATGCCGCATTATGACGGTGAAAGAAACCACAAACCCCCGCTTTAAAAAATGAGACAAGAGAGACAGAAACAAGCAAAATTACCCCCTAACCCCTTTTTTACCTCTAAAAAAATGAGGTGAACTAACTAAAAACAAGAAGACTTTACAGAAACACAAAGCTAAACAAACCAAAACCATAGGCCCACAATTTCTCCCACCCTAAACAAACAAAACAAACAACCCAAAACTCGAACCCAAAGTAACCCCTCCCCCCTCCCCCAAAAATAACAACTCCACCCCCTACAACAAAGCAAAACAAAATGGACATTTTTAAAATATCAAATTTTTGCCTCCCCCAACCCCC